AGCAGGTCTGACATTTAGCCCAAGGGTGGTGCCAACCACGAGATCCCCTTCGGTTCTGTTCATGTCTGTTTGTCTCAGCCAGAGCTGGCCAAAGCAGACAAAGGTAGGCTGTGGTTCATGTACAAACCCCCAGGACTTCCAACCACAGAGGACCTGGCTTTACCTGTGCGAGATGGCTTAGGGGACCATCCCTCTGCTCCAGCATAGCAACTGTCATGGGCCATGCCTGTCCTCGGGTCATTCTTTATTTCCTCACCAGTGTGTCTCTGAGCTGTCGCCCTTGGGAGGTGTTAAAGTGTATCCCCAAAGCTTTTGAAAAACATGGCAGGGAGACCTTAGGTCCTGGGAAAACAAAACAAGCAAGCATCAGCAAGTCCAAGAAATTCAAGCAGGTGGTTGCAGGAAACATCAGTGCGGATGCTTATTTGGTCAGGTTAAGGAGTGAGCGAGGTAGAGAGAGAGGCCTGCGGGTGCCTGTGTGCCAGCAGACGTGGGCAGGGAGCCAGTTAGAAAGGGTGATAAGATTCGTGCTCATGTCAGCATCTGCCATCCGGCAGACTCGGGCAGCTGTTGGATCTGCTGTGAGAATGGGTGTGTGAGAAGGTGAAACACAGCAAGCATGGAGCTAAAAAGTTGAAAAGTTAAGTTCAACCGAAATCATGATCTAAAATAGCATTTAGGGACCTAGGGAAGTACTTCAAATGTAAGAGCCAGTGCAATCACTATGTTGCTGAAATACATACCACCACAGGCATTCATGTTTATGCATGGGAACAAGACCAGTGGCAATATTCAAAGGGGTTGAGCCTGAGGGTTGGGGCAATGAGCAATTTTGACTTTATATAGTTTTTAAACTTCCAGATGTTCTGAAGGAAAATGTGTTAATCAGGAAAAAAAATAAGTGATAATCAGATAATCAGGAAAAAAAAAGCCTACGTGAAAAAAAACCCAAAAACTTTAACTCAAAAAAATTAAGCAAAAAAAAAAAAATTACAGGGCACAAAGAAATCAGAGTGTCAGGGATGGGCTGGTTGGGGAGGACCATTGTTCCCACCCAGCATGGTTTTCTTCTTAATGTTCTTTTATGTGTGTACACACAATTTCAAAGCTTTTCCTGACTTTATTTTTGTGACAAATGGCTTTAAACTTCCTCAGAGATAGCCTTCCAGTGGGGAACTATGGTTTGAAAATGTGACGGAAATTGATGGAATGTCTCGAAGTTTTTAAATAGACAAGGATTAGGAGGAGCGTGGAGAGAATGAGACCTTCTTGGCAAAATGTCCTCCTGCCTTCATCATGTCCCTCTTGGTCTGTGCCATCCCTGCCTGACCACGGATATCCACTCACACGTATCGACATTCACCCCAGGCACTGAGATGGATCAAGAAAGGGAAAACCATTCCCAACTGCTGTTGTCACCATCTTGGGTTCCAGAGCTCCGAAAAGTTGAAGGGCTGGATTCAAGAAATGGGGAGGGAGTACGCAGCTTTTCGCTTCATCCTCCTTTTCCATTGACACACACACTTACTTAAAATGATTGTCTTGGATAAAGAAAATCCTAAGCTACAAATTTTGTGGCCCTTTACCCCAAATAGAGAAGCAGGAAGGCCCTTGGATAAATCCTCCTTGATTTTAGTGACAAACTAGTAAGACTTGAGTTTTGTTTTTATCTGATTTAAATGTTTGCTTTTTAAAATCTTTGTACATAAAAAATTATCAAGAAGAAAACCATTTATTTGCCTGAATAACTTTCTTACATTTTGCTGGTGCTTTTTAAAGCTTTAAAAAAGGTTTTTGGAGGGAATTAGGAATGGGTGAGGACATGCTGCCGGAATAGAAGACACTGAATCAACCCCCCCAAGTTCTGAATTCTATGTGTGTACGTTGGGGCGGAGGATTGGGGGGATTCCTGGATTAAAACCGATGAATCCAAATTTATAAGACTCCTTCTTGAACATCATATAGCTCTTCCAAATGTCATTTTGATAAGTTAATATAAAAGAATCAGAAACATCTGCCCCCAAAATTCCCCTGAACACACAAGGGCTTAACAATTAAATGGAAGAATGTTCAGCACAATGTGTTTCAGGTTTTAGCGGATCCAAAATGTTTTGAAAAACAGTTAAGTTCTTAAGACATTTTGATTATTTAAAGGGCAGCTGGTTCTCCCACGCCGTTAAAAAAAAATGGCAATGGCTATTTCTGCTCTTTGTGTCGATTCCTGTTGCTCTTATCGTCTGTGGAAGAAATTCTGTAACAGAGGCTCACGCTCTCTGGTCTCTGACATGGCAGCTGCAAATTGCTGTTCTATCCAGCCAGACAGCTCACTTCTAACCCTCTCCCCATCCCGTTCCTACATTTTCTTCCTCAGCAAACAGTGTGTTGCAGGTTTAAAAGTGATGATGAGGCAGTGTTTTGTCCAGTTGCAAGACCCGTTTCTAGATTCAGGTGGAGGGGCATTGTTGCCACCATGGGTCACCGTCTCATAATTTCAGGGATTTCTCAATTTGTAGTACTGGTTCACCTTTTACGATGTGACAGCTGGCCCTTGAGCAAAAGAAAGAGAAGGTGTATGTTCAGAGGATGAGCTAAAATCTGGCAAATTGTCAAGAGGGAAACAGGGCTCAAATTGTGTAAAAGGCTACAACCAAGACTCGACTGCAAATATTAATAAAAGCCACCTTGGCCTCAGTCCCCTCAGACCTCCCTCACGTGCTTCAACACAGCTGAGGGATCCCAACAAATGCCAGCTAAGCAGATGAAAGCGATTAGTGTGCAGTTCCCTTTCAAGCCTCTTCCTCGAAGTTGTCCTTCCATTTTATTGACTTTCAGTCTTGCCATCCTGAAATTTTAATCGCCCAAGCACCGTGCGGACATCGGTTAGATCACCCAACTTGTAATTCTATCTGGATTTGAAGGTGAAAGAAGAAACCCTCGCACATTCGCCTTCCTTCTGTTTTCCCCTTCAAGGGACACTGTCGATCTTTCTTGGGCTTCCTAGGTAATCATCATTTGATTTTCTTTATAGGGAAAGTCTGGATTCCCTAAACTTAAAAAAAATAGTAATTAAAAGTGATGGGAGCATTTTATCAAACGGATTTGTGAATTCAGGATACCACATGTCTCCCTCGTGGTAGAAACGATACGACTCTGCCCCAGTGGCTTTTTAAGTTCAGCACTGCTCATTAATGATGTTTCCCCGCTAAGTTTAAGAAATCAAAAACCAAAAGAATTAAAGCAGGGCTTCACCCCACTGTTTCTAAGTCGAAATTTATTTCAGTCTGGCTAGAGTAGAGCAAGTCTTGCTCCTATTTAACCCCCACAATTGCTTCCAGCCTCAATCTCAAACCTTGGCATGGTCTAGCTTCTGCTCTGACTTCAACTGTCTTTTTCTCTCACACCTGCCACGTTCCAGCACACACAGCTGCGTCCTGCTCTGAGCCTTTTACTAAGTGTGTCTCTGACCTGCAGACCCCACAGAACCAACTCCTCTCCTCACCCGGGGTTCAACTGAAATGGCTCCTCCTTGCAAAGCATCCCGTAACACATATATATATCACTTGGTAGCACATTCTCCTGCCTTCATTTCAGCATAGTACTTAGTGCTAAATGAAATAGTCTTGTTTATTGTCGGCCTCCCATCACTGAAGTGTGAGCAGTGAATGAATGGTCTGTGTAGACATATCCCCTGTTTGGAAAAGATTTGCTGTTTTCAATTTTCTAAAAATTTTTGCGCATTGCTGGCTTTGCACCTGGTGTGTTGACATGCTGGTTGGTGTCTTATAATAGCTTGGAGAGAGTGTTTATTTGACAACTGTTCCATCTCTGCAGTGCGTCATGGCTTGCCACCAAAGCACAGTCTTTCAGAAAGAGGTAGCAGGACCAAAACGTTGCGAAGTATAGGCTCTATTGAAAGAGGCATCATATTCCTTAGATTTGCCCTTCGCATTCTCTAGGCTATCAGTTAGAAATTCCGTCCGAGTGTACACAGAGCATGAGAATCAGTGAACAAGGCTATGGAGAGTTTTAGTTCTTAATCTCTTCCCTTTGGGAACACCACTCTGACCTTGGAGGGAATTTTTCCAAGGAGGCCCTGGTCTCCATAAATGGCTATCAATCTGGAGACCGTAGGCTGATAACCTGACTCCTCCCACAGTTCTGAGCACCTGAAGACGTTGCCTACCTTGAGAATGATCTTGGACGAACATGTGGCCATGAGTCAGTGCTCAGGAGCTGTTAAAAAGGAGTGTGCAGGACTATTTAGGTCGGATGTATATTATTGCAGATGTAGCTAGAAATGACAAAGAATTTCCCAGCCAGGTTGAGTTAAAAAAAAAAAAAAAAGTTTAGAACTTCCAAAAACCAAAACTGTCGATCTTAATGGGATACTGTCCTCTTAGTTTTTATTTTCAGAGAACATTATGGCAAATGTTCCCTGCAGAGGTCTGAGAAACTTGTTTCTAAGCCAGGATTCTGACAGCAGTGCAAAAAAAGCCCTTTTTGGTGTTTGGTATTGTGACGGTCTGGGAGGTTAAGAATGCTTTTCAAACTTCATGACTCCTTCTTAACTAACTTTGGATGTGTCATCCTGGAATTTATGTAAACCTCTCTCGAATCAAGGCAAGAAGCTTGCTGACTTATTTCTTTCTACATTATCAGTTGGTCATGCGGTCAGGCTGCTATTTCAGTGGGGCATGTCTCATGTGTGCTCTTCCCTTTAGGACTTTTGATGGTCCAGGTGTTTGCCTGGGCTTGGTTCCTGCACTGGGACTGTGGCAGGATCCTCCACGGAATTTGCTAACTGTTCCCCTCTGACTTCTTACCAGCATTTTTATCTGTCACTTTTATCATGTTATCATGCTCTCTTTATTCTAATGGAGGCATCCTCTAATACTGAGGATTAAATCTGAGAGCCTTACTTTTGTGTTTAAAAACCCTTCACTTGGGTGTCTTTGACTCTCAAGCTTCTCAAAGTGTGGTCCATGGGCCGGCAGCATCAGCATCACCTGGGAGCTCCTTAGAACGCTCAGCCCTGCCCCAGGTTGACTGCATTAAAGTCTGCATAGTAATAAGATTCCCAGGTGATTGCACATTACAATCAAGAAGTGGTTTCCAGAATTTCTCACTGCCTCTGCTGCTACCACGACCACTACCACAACCACCGTCATCATCATCGTAGCCAAAAGCTAAGTCTTACTGAGAAATTTCTTTGCCAGCTCTAATGTGAGTACCTTGCACATACCGTGAACACTCTCTCATTTAAACCGCCAGTGTCTCTATGTGGTATGTGCCGTTATTATTCCCATTTGCAGATGAGGAATTGAAGCTCAGGGAGATCAGATAATCTATGTAAAATTATGCAGATAGTAAGTGCAGGTAGCCTGCGTTCTGTCTGAGATGCAGGGTCTGTGGCCCTCCCTCGCCCCTGCTTTCCAGGTGAGCACACTCTGTATTCATTTGCTTCCTTCTCACATCAGTCTATAAAACTTCAAATGCAAGGCCCCTGTGAAGGGAATGCTGCTGCTTGGTGTGTTCTGTAAAAGAGCTTTGGGTCTTAACATTATTTTTAAATAAGACTGAATTGTACCCTGTGTAAATTTGATCTCTCTCAGCCCCAGAGAACGAGCTCTTTCTACTGCTTCCAATTAAAGTGGATTGCTTCAAGTTGTAGATTACCATCCTCCGGATGTGAACGCCTTCTGGCTTTGTGGACACAGTGAAGTATCTCAGGCTTTGGAAGAAAACTTACATTTACAGCTCTAATCTGAAAAGATGGAGACAAGAATTATGACTTTGCAATGACATTGGTCTATGGTTTATCAAATCCTTTAAAGAACTCCAGCTTCGAATATGTATAGCCTGTGTACTCAAGGCCAAAAGTTAATTACAGGACGGCGATGTCTGGGGTCTGGAAGAGGTTAAGGTCAGTGGTTTTCAAACTGATCACTGAATTGCTCTGCTCTGTGGGGTGTTCCAGAGAAGGACCTGGGGAGGGGGTGTTGAGATGGTGGTTCACTGGGTCCTTCCTCACTTCCAACCGATTAGTACAGACTTTACAGACTTTTATATCATTTCATATGGTAAGCCCTGGGGTAACACTTTATTTAATGGGCCTTTCCCTCACTGAAAAAAAATTTTTGTAACTTAAAAAGTAACTGCACTAATCCTACTCCATCTTCTGCATTCCTTACTGTTGAGACCGTGGAGGTTCAGAAAGGCAAATTGACTTCCCCAAGGTCACACATTGTTTTGACTAAAAGCTATTTCTTGTATTTCTCCTTTGAAAGCTCAAAAGCTGGGCCAGCTGCCAAGTCTGCTGGGCATTTGCTCCTCTGCCATCTGAATCAGCCCTTATTATGTCCAGTGGCGCTGATCTGGGTTTATTTCCTTTGCGTATAGGACTCCTCTGTGTATTTGGAAAACAAAACACCATTCAGGTGTTCATGGCAGAGCTGAGTGGAGAAGTCACACGTTCTCGGTGTTCTTTCTCTAACCACCACGCAGTCGATCTGTGTGCCTCCCTTTCTTTCCTCATTTGTTTATACATTGAAAGCAGCCTTGCAGAGAACACAGAATACTCTGATATCCGCAAAGTAGAGCAGCTCTTCTGCAACTGAAAGGTTAAATTACTGAAAACCCCATTGTAGGAACATGTGCATGGAAGAACTCATGACCAAAAAAGGAAGGTGGGATTGGGGGACTGAGATCACAAGAGACCCTATGAAAACTTTTTTTTTTTTTAACTTTCAGGAAAGTATTAATACATAAGATACACTAATAAGAATATCAATGACATTTTGCAGTTAGTAATAATGGATACGTGGATAATTTTCATTTTATCATCCCTTGTTTACCAGACACTTCATCATTTGGCTGTGTGACAGATGATACGCATACTAAGCGTTTTATATCTATGAGTGGCTTTTTGCCCACCTAGATGTTCAATGCTTCCCTGACTTTTGTCTGAAAGATTCGTTTCTAACCCCTGCCTCCTGAGTGTGTGCCTAGAGATGCCGCCCCAGAGCCTGGGCCATAAGCCCCTTGTGCATGGCCAGTTGGAAATGCAGAAGTAGAGTTCTGGGACTTGGTTTCCTTTCTCTCAGATTTTGCCTTTCTGCTCTCTGCCCTTCCACTTTATGTACCATTTCTGTTTCTAACACATTTCTTCTTTCACTAATTATTTCCAAATGGGACCAACTCATACATCAGAACTGAAATTCTTACTAATACAAAGATAGATTCAAGTCATACACACTGAGATTTCCTGCAAGGGAAACTCAGATTCTTGTTCTGAAGAGATAAGAACTTACTGCTTTATTTAGGTATATCTAATCCCCAAGGATTTGGAGGTAAATATTGGCTCTCAAGCTATGTAGTCAGGTATACAGACAAGTTATCTAAGAAATCCTTTGGTTGTCCTCTATATATGTTCATATTTTAAATTTCACCTTTGGTTCTTCTGTTCCTAAGAAGAGTTAGAGAATATTTAGCTCTCCCCCAAGAAAGAGAATTTCTGGGAGATTGTAAAAAGCATGTCTGAAGGTATTAATTAGAAATACGTAGCACTGAAGCAGTTTGCTGTCATCCTTGATGCTCTTTTCAGTTGTTTGCTAGGATTAAGATATGGAACTTGATCTCAGGTAAATCTCTAGGGGAAATGATTGTCACTGAGTATTTATAATGTCATAGAACACTTGGGTACCATGAAATGACACCAGGGAGGGATTCGACCCTAGGTAAAGTTTGGCAAAATATCTCCTTGTAAAGCTCCAAAGCAGGACAGATTACCAGGTGTACCTGGCAGCTGGTGGGTTGAAATAACTGACCTTTATGTCGGGAGGAACTCTTTATAGCATTTGCCCCAAGGTCAGGCCTGTTGTATGTCTATTTATAAAACAGAACCTGCAGAGATCAGTTCTGACATCAGGTAGCTCATGGTTCTGCTCTGGAGAGAGGCATTTTTCACTTATTTATTTGTCACTGTCCCTTGTCCTTGTTTGGCAGATCCAGCCATAATATCTCAGCAGAGAGGGGAAACTGTATACTTCCTTATCTGCTTCATTTTGTGCATTATTGTGTTTTCTACTTAGGATGAATCTATTGCCATTCTCTCCAGTTTGAATTCATTTAGAAGTCAAGCTTATCTCTGACAAGAGATCCCCTTTTTAGCTCACAACATGTGCTCTGTCTGTGACTGGCAACTGTCTCGAGGGTGGTCTGTACCCTGCACGGCTTGGGGCTGAATTCTTGTACTTACCAGGACTCCTTTAGATGAATCCAGATCCACTACTGGAGCGGAGGGAAGCAGTGACTTCTCCCGAGTCACAGGGCTCTGCGGGGGTGGTAGAGATGCTGGAATAAAATTTGGAACCTCTTAGGGAGGAAAAAGAAAGGAATGCATACTTGGTAGACAGCCAACAGTGTCAAGTACAGTTATATCTTTGCAGTTTCCAAGGTCATCTTTTTTTATTTCTCAAGTATAAAAGTACTCTAAGCCTTTCTTAAGGCCTCAGACATCATACTGGTCCTTTAAAAAATTTATTCCCCCAAACCATACTCCTTGGTCCCCGCCTCCTCGCCACCCTCAAGTAAGAGCTCCTCACACAGAGCGTCACGCCTGCTCTTCCGCAGATGCTAGCAGCCAGCACAGGTGCTGGATATCATAGGTGCAGAATGAATATCTACAGAATAAGCACATATAACTTATTCTCTGAAATCCCCCAGGATTCAAAAACCTCAGACTTTGTTTAGAATGAAGCAGAAATCCAGACTAACCGAGTCTTGACCAAATCGCCCTGTAACAACAGTACTGCCTCTTTTCTTCCCCGTTTGGAGCGTTGGCATTTTACTTTGATTTTATTTTTGTAAAGTTTATGACTACTTTAAGTAGCATTAAAATTCTACTTTTTAGGCCAGGCATAGTGGCTCACACCTGTAATCCTAGCACTTTGAGAGGCTGAGGCAGGAGGATTGCTTAAGGCCAGAAATTTGAGACCAGCCTGAGCAACATACTGAGACCTCATCTCTGCAAACAATAGAAAAATTAGCCGGGTGTGGTGGCACAAACCTGCAGTCCCAGCTCCTCAGGAGGCTGAGGCAGGAGGATCGCTGGAGCCCAGGAGTGTGAGGTTATGTGAGCTATGATGATGCCACTGCACTCACCCCCTGTGAGATCCTATCAAAAAAAAAGAAAAAGAAAAAAAGAAAAAAAAAACGAATGGGAACGGAGGAAGTGCCTTGGCAATGAAGACCTATATGAGTTTTAGATGGAAAGTTTTTAAAACTTGCCCCATAGTGACATGTCAAATGAACTCACAGAATCTTCAAACTTTTGTCTTTTAGGCTTATGTACAGAAGTACATCGTGAAGAATTATTTCTACTATTACTTATTCAGATTCTCGGCCGCTTTGGGTCAAGAAGTGTTCTACATAACATTTCTTCCATTCACTCACTGGAATATTGATCCTTTTCTGTCCAGAAGGCTGATCATCATTTGGGTGGTAAGTGCGGTCATTACTTTTTAACCACTGCTACTTCTAAGGCAACTACCTGCTTCGGTGTTCAAGCCCCCTGTGCATAGGTTCTTGGATTTTTAACCACTTAGAGTTGGATTTGGTGTCCGATTTACTTTGGAAAAATTAAAAAGCTACGAACACAACTTGTTTTGTTTGTAAAGCCCAAACAAATCTGTGATTTCATGTACTTTGTATACCTTCCCATGGGTAAACCAAACTAGGAGAGGAAAGAAGTGAATGAACAGAGAAGAAAGGACCTTTCTAAAAACCCATAAAGGAGTATAAAATGCATCCTCCCAAGGGGCCCATTTTAGTAAAACTTGATCAGAAACTAAAACTCAACAGAAGCTGTTGAGTAATAATTGCAAGCAGTATTAAGCAACTACTCTATATATACTGAAGAGACTAAAATATAAGGCAAAGAACCTTCTTTAAGGAAACTTCTAGTGTAGTGGGGGCAGCTGCAAATACACAAATACCTGATGACAATCCCAGGTAGACAGGTGGAGCCCCTTTCACCTCTTTTGCTGGTGACCCTATCATTTAACTTTGTTCAGGACCAAATGAGTTCTGTTTCTTTGTTTAATAGGGAGAGATGGTGGATATTTGCAAGGCAGAAAGGCATACTACACACATAGTTTGTATCAGATAGGCCTGTGTTCAAGGGTGATTCAGTCATATCTACAAACTCTTGTCCAGAGCCCTACCTGCCTCATTTGTGAAATGTTATCAATAATGTGCATCCCCAGAACCATCATGAGGATATCTAGATTGTGCACAGAGCTCTGGGCCTGGCATAGTGGGAGGACTCTACAAGTCCTATTTGAGTGTGATAATACGTAATGACTAGTCCATGACAGCGAAGGAGTCTTGAATATCAATCAATTCTAAAGTCAAAGATTGTTTAGCTGGCAGGGGGGTGCTTCTGGGACAAGACTGTTTCCCTGACTCAAAATTCTGCACTAGAGGTTCAGAAGCACTTGATTGGGTATAAAATGAAGCTGTGTGACCTTAAAGTGACCCCCACACTGGGTTTTATTTTTCTTATTTGTAGAACAAGTTAGAGCAGATTCATTTGGAAGCAATAAACTCAAATGTCCTCAGGGGCAGGGGAGAGAAGTAAAACAGTGGGTTTTACATCCTGGGTGGCTTGGGGTGGCTCGGGTGGGGAGTGTGTTCTGTGCAAATCATTCACAGAGTGGCTGTCCGGAGGTGCAAGGGAGCAGCTGCCCCATGGCTGCGCCCGTGACTGCCATGAGGAAAATGGGCCCAAAGTTGCCAGATCTCCCCATTTTTCATGGGAAATCTCCCAGTTTTTAAATGTAGGCTTATATTTTAAAAACATCATATGCCAACTGAACAAAGACTCCTTGAAGTCCAAATGCGTGGGCTCGGTTTGAGGCCTCTAGTCTAAAGGACTGCTGAAGCTTGTGATTAGGATTATTTGACCCCGAATTCCTTCTGACTCTTTTATCCTTTCTTCTCTAAAACTACCAGCCATTTTTTTATTTCCCCATCCCTGTCTCCTTATAGCCTTCTTCTGAAACCTAGAATCTGCAAAAGCATAGGCATCTTGCAGCTCATACAGGCAATGTCAGTCCCATTGTCCCCCTCCCTTTCTGAGGCCAGCTTCTGTGTCCTTGGAGCAGTGGGTGGGGCAGGAGGGAGGGAACGGAAGGTTTCTTCCTGTTCTTAAGATTTGAAAATCCATGAAAGGTCCATGGTGCTCGAGTTTCTGTCCCTCTGTCATTTATTTTCTAAGAGACATATATATATTTTTAAAATCCCAAAGCCTTAATGGTGGTTGAGTGGGGCAGATGATGTGAAGTACATTTAATCACCCAGGACTATCTTATAATCTGTATGGCCAGCTCAAGGCCAGTGATTTCCCCCAGCGAGGGTGGAAGACTTTTCCTGAGGAGCTGGGAAGACCTTTAGACTTGATAGGAGGCTGTGGGTAGGGGACTCTGATCGTCATTGTTGTATTTTATGCTTTGGACTCCTCGTATGATTCAGAGTGTTCAACATGCCTGCTTTTCGTCAGAGAGTGAGCAAATAAAATCTTTGCCTGAGAAAGGAAAGAGTAACTGTTCAGTCTGTGGTT